AAATCTCAAATCCGGCCTTGTATGGAATACTGTTGCCATATCTGAGGCGGATCTTCTAATGATGCCCTTTCTCTTTTAGACAAGGTGCGAAAACGCATTGTAAACATAGTTGGACCTGCTCTTGCAGCCAACCTTCAACCTCTGTCACATCATCGTAATGTTGCTTCTCTTTCTCTTTTTTACAAATACTATAATGGGCACTGCTCGAAAGAGCTAGCGTCTCTTGTGCCATCCACTAAAATTCATTCTCGTGTTACTCGTCATTCAATTAAGTCTCATCCATTTTCTGTTACTGGTCCTAAGTGCTTCAAAAACTCTTATTCGTCTAGTTTTTCTCCTCGAACATCAGTTCTTTGGAATTCGCTTCCTTTATCTTGCTTTCCTGATTCATACAATTTGCAATCTTTTAAGTCGTCTGTCAATCGTTATCTTGCTCTACAATCTTCATCTTTTTTCTTCCTGTAACTTCCAACACTAGTTAGTGGTTGCTTGCAGCCTTGTTGGAAGCAAAGATAATTAAAAAAAAAAAAAAAAAAAAAAAAGAAAAATTATAAAATTTATGATATGAAGATATTTTAGCCAGATTATAAAACCCTCATCAATATATCTAAAAATAAAATTTTTTTATATCATCTACTTCACGGTTTGAAAAATACTGAGGTAAAATTACTGGGAAAAGCTTATTCTCTTCTAGAAACCCATTAGTAAGAAAAGCATAATCTGGCATGAAATCTGTACCCATGGTTTTACCAGTTGTTTGGTAAAATAATTGTTTATCGAATATAAAATTATTGTTATTTAAAATAAAAGATGCTGACTCAATTATGAATTCAGGTCGAAATCTTTTATCTATCAATTCTTTATATTTTAATAACCAGAAATTTAGGACTTCTAAACCAAGATAATGTGGGATGCTTGTGTAAAGATTGACAATGTCGCATGTCATTCTACGACTTTCTTATTCAACCTCTCTTGGAATTTTTCTGAGAAAATCCTAGTCATCTTTAATGAAGGATTTTTGTTTCTTTACAATTGATGATAAAATTTTATGTAAAAACTGGCTCAAACAAGATGTTGATAAAAAGCAGTAATCTTTGTTTAATAACAGTTTTTATATAATCAAAAGTCAGATAGCACAAACACTTTTTTATAAAAGAGAAAACCCAATTTAATTGTGTATTAGTAAGTACATATAAATTAATCATAACCAAGTGTCTCCTTATTTAAAAAAAAATAACCAAAAAAACAAATGTTTTAAAGAAAAAAAAAAAAAAGTTTAAATAAGCAAAAGAATACAAACTAAGGGCATTTTTTTTAATTAGCATTTAAATTTTTAACTATAATTTCTTTTAAAACAATATTGTTTATTTTAAAGATTTAATTTCAAGACTTGCAATAATTTTAATGTGGTTTTAAATTTAATTACAATGAGGTATTATAAAATACGCAACTGACACAATTTTTTTAACAATGTAAATATCTTTATTGAGTAAAGTTGCATTTATATGCGTTGCGCTTTTCCGTTATGCAAAAAAATCTTATAACAAGGCCTATAATATATACATACATGTAGATTTTTCTAGTCGTCAGTTAAAGAGACATGTTTCTTGTGTTCCCATTATGTTTATTTTTTATCACTTTTTTAATACTATTTTTATCATATTTATATAATTTTTTAAATTTTTATTTTATATATATTTCATTTCTATATTTATTTATAAATATTTAAATTTATTATTTTATAATTACAGTACATTTTTTATGTTTATTTTTATTATTTTTATTTATTAATTGTATATTATACTCCAATTTTATTTTCATTTATTTACAAAAACAATTGTTTACAGTAATATAACTATATATAAACCTTCCTGTAACCCTAACCCTATGCCTGATTATGATGCAGACTCTAACCAAACCTTCAGTCGGTGTAATAGCACTCTTTACGGGAAACTCTTTTTCACTACATGCA